CAATTAAAAACGACAGGAGAAAGTCTCACCAATAGGATGAATGAAATGGAAAACAGAGTATCAAGACTAGAAGATAAAGTGGACAAACTAGACCACTCAAGCAAAGATTATGAAAAATTTAAGAAATCACAAAATGGAATATGCAGGAATTGTATGACACCATAAAAAAACCAAATTTATGAATCATAGGCATACAGAAAGGAGAAGATTACCAAGATAATGGCATGGACCAGATCATCAACAGAATCATGAAAGAAAATTTTCCAAAATTAAAGAAAGATATGACCATACACATACAAGAAGCATATAGAACACCAAACAGGCAAGACTAGAAAAGAAACTCTCTGCGGAACATCATAGTACAAACACTAAATGTACAAAACAAAGAAACAATAGTGAAAGCTGCAATAGAGAAATAACAAGTCAAACATAAAGGAATACTCATTAGGATTACAGCAGACTTTTCAGTGAAACTTATGAAAGCCAGAGGAGACTGGACCAAAGTATTCACAGTTTTAAATGACCACAGATGCCAACCCAGACTTCTATACCCAGCCAAATTGTCTATTACATTTGAAGGGGAAAGAAAAACCTTCCATGATATAAATAGGCTGAAGGAATTCATGTCCACAAACCAGCACTTCAGAGAGCTCTGTAAGCAATACAAAAGTTGAAGAAAGGAATGACTATACCCAAAGGGTTGCAGAAAGAAATTCAATGAAGGTATAACTGTGGAAAAGTACAGCTATATCAAGAACATAAACAGAAATAAAAATTATAGGATTCAATATACATCTTTCATTAATAACTTTAAATATTAATGGACTGAACTCTCCAGTCAAAAGAGAAAGACTAGATAATTGGGTAAAGAAACAAAACTCATCTTTTTGTTGTCTACAAGAGACCCATCTCACATTCAAGGACAGACACTATCTTAAAGTGAAAGGATGGAAAAAAAATATAGGGCCACTTCATTCTGATCAAAGGAACAATAAATCAAGAAGATATTACAATCATGAACATATATTCACCGAACTCTGGTGCACTAAACTTCATAAAAACAATACTACAAGACTTTAAGACCCAGATTAATCCCAACTCATTAATAGTAGGGGACTTCAATACCCCACTTTCTCCATTAGATAAGTCAACAGGGCAGGGAGTTAACAGAGAGACATCTGAATTAAACAATACCATATATCAAATGGACTTAACAGACATCTACCGAGTATTCCACCCAAGAACCAAAGGACATACTTTCTACTCAGCACACATGGAACCTTCTCCAAAATGGACTATATACTGGGGGACAAAACAAATCTCAACAAATACAAAAAGACTGAAATAATTTCATGGATTCTATCAGACCACAATGCAATAAAGCTCACACTCAACACCGGAAGAAGCCCTAATCAACACATGAACACAT